ACTACCAAAAAGATTCTTAACTCAAGGAGAAAGAAAAATGGGAAAGAGAGAGAAACAGAAAGGAACAGATGAAGAAGTATACATTTGTCTCAGTGTCTTAATGCTAGGAATAATAAGTAGGAAAATGAAATCAACAGTACATAAGGCATTTTGCAGGTGGGCACAAAGGGATATGGTTTCTCCCTGGACAGCTCCAAAGCCCAAACAGCAGAAGGGCTGTTATGAATTTACCACCCTTCACATGTTTATCATCCTGTCTAAAAATTCCAGCTGCTCTTGGGCTCCCCATCTTTTCTGCTTTAGTCATTCACAGACCCTGAAGTAAATCAAGTGTCTAGATCCCTATCAGAAATTTCTCTGTGATGATAATGTTCTTGGCACAGATTATCACACCATCAGCCAGAGGCAAGGCAACCTGCAGAGGGAACTGAACCTGGTTAAAGTGCAACACTTGAGTGATACTGGCTGGTATTCTACAAAGGAGAACAAATGGAGAACTGGGAGGAAGGGACAAGCAAGCCTACTCACAAAGCCACACTCAGAGCACACAAAAAGTGGCCTTGACTGTGGAACAAAATGACAGGGAAAGTAGAGACCTCAGAGAACTGAAAAAGTTACTCTATAGGCTTTTCACCCCTATAGTCCTCAATCCTATACATCTACCAAACAGTGTATATGTATCTCTGGAGTCAGACATACGCTTATTAATTAGTTATACATCTCTAAAATGAAACAGAACAAGCAATAGTAATAGGTCTACCTAGAATAAAACTTTCATGGAAAGTAGTTCTTCATTTTTTTCTCAGGGGAGAAGAAAAAAAAAAAAAAAACAACTGTCACTTCACAGTGGTTGATAATGTGATTTAGGAATGTAAGACTAGAATCTCCTCACCAGTAGGAGTTTCCAAAGCCGTGTACAAAATAGTCATGAGTCTGTAGAAGAATGATTAGTATTCTTAACTTCCAATATGACATAAATGCAAAATAAAAAGAATCACCCTCTATGTTACTATTCTAGTCTATAGTTCTTTAAGTTTTATTAAAGATGGAAATTAATAAATGTAAAGATTAAATTAACACCAAAGCATGGTTGTTTATATACTCACTTCGCAGTTGTCTCTTTATTTCTTTTGCAGGATCCAGCCAGTTCTGCAAAGAGGGGGGAGAAAAAAGTTAATTTATTCTTAAAACATATCCCAGAGTCTAAATCAAGAGTTTATAGCTCATATGCTTATTTAAATGTAAATATATTTAAATATAGTTCTATTCAAAGCAGATTTCTGCTAGCTATTAGCATTCCACTAGGCTAAATTTTGATTTTTTAACTGTGTGCATGTGTGTGTGTGTGTGTGTCTGTTATATTTTATAAATAAAATATTTGAATACTTTTAAGACTGGTCTCCTGGGCCTCTTGCTCTTAAATCCAAAATCAAACATTTATCCAAATTCTGGCACATAATACACCTACGTATAGATTTTATTCTGTGGTAGAATCAGAAGCAAACCACCTCTGAACTTCCATCCCTGAATATGCACCAAGATTATGCATCATTTACTGAGCATATACAGTACACCAGACACATGAACACCGAAATAAAATTTCAGTCACAGGCACTAACTAAGTGGCCCTTACTCATCAAAGACAAAATGTAAATGGGAAACTACTGGCAAAAAACATATTGGTGGTGGTGGTGTTAGGCGCCGTCAAGTTGGCTCCGACTCATAGTGACCCTATGCACAACAGAACGAAGCAGTGCCTGCACCAGCCTCACAATCAATGCTATGCCTGAGCCCATCTTTGCAGCCACTGTGTTGATCCACCTCATTGAGGGCCTTCCCCCTTTTCACTGACCCTCCACTTCACCAAGCATGATATCCTTCTCCAGGGAATGGTCCCTCTGACAACATGACCAAAGGAGGTGGGACAAAGTCTGGCCATTCTTGCTTCCACGGAGCATTCCAGCTGCACTTCTTCCAGGACAGATTTGTTTATTCTTCTGGCAGTCCATGGTACTTTCAGTATTCCTTGCCAACATCACAACTCAAAAGCATCAACTCTTCTTTGGTCTTCCTTATTCATTGTCCAGCTTTCACATATATATATGAGGCAACTGATAACACCATGCCTGGGTTAGGTACACCTTAGTCTTCAAAGAGACATCTTTGCTCTTCAGCACTTTAAAGAGGTCTTTTGCAGCAGATTTGTCCAGTGTAATACAGTGTCTGATTTCTTGACTACTGCTTCAGTGGGTGCTGATTGTGGAACCAAGTAACATGAAATCTGACAATTTCAATCTTTTCTTCACTTATCGTGATGCTGCTTATCAGTCCACTTGTGAGGATTTTCGTTTTCTTTATGTTGAGGTGTAATCTATACTGAAGTCTTTTATCTTCTTTAGTTAAGTGCTTCAAGTGTTCATTTTCAGCAAGCAAGGTTGTATCATCTGCATATCACAGGTTGTTAATGAGCCTTCCTCCAATCCTGATGCCCTGTTCTTCTT